AAGATTTACTGGCAACCAAAATGTTTCAATCTAGCTGGATATTTTCGGTCAACGGACGCAAGAAAGGGAAGGATATTGCTGCCCCCTGTCGTTGAAAATTCGCTCGTTTTGAAACTGTTGAAAGCGCAATGATGGCGAAATTTTCCGAAAATGTCTCACGCTTTCGCTTGGCCTGGAATTTTTCAGCTTCGGTCCCGTCTAAACGTTTAAGAGATTTTCGACGAGTCGGAACTCATCGGAAATATTTTTTGCGTAATTAAACGTTAATTGCATACAATTAAATCGTACTTATAACTTGACGAGGGAATATAATTATATTGTCACTAACATGTAATAAAGAATAAAATATTCAATACATTGTCGATATATACTCGTAGTATATTTTCTATTAACGTAGTATAGCGATCTCTTTTTATTGTGTATATAAGAAAAACATCTACAGTTTTACTACGTGTCAATTAGTGATATAAACTACAATTATTAAATAAAATTAATTTATAGTTACTTGATAATATAAATGTATTTGTGAACAGACAGCTTGAAAATTATTATAATCCTACACTATATGTAACATCAAAGTGATGAAAACGTTCGTAAGTCTAAACAAGAAATAGGTTCTATTAGTTTCAAAATTTCAGACGATCGAAAGTCTCTTTCACGTCGTTCTTGTCCAACATTTCCGGCAAATCGAAGCAGAGAACGCTTTCGTCCCAAGGAGGAAGATATCCTTGCCCAAACGTTTACCAAAACGATCAATTAACGAGAGCGGGCTGAACACAGAGTTTTAAAGATGGTTTTCACTTTAAAATCGGCTTAAGCAAGCGAAAATTCCATGCGCGCTGGCGAAAAAAATTGAATCCCCTCGGCTAATATAAACTCATTCTATCTGTTTATCGGGACGCCAATGCCGCTGGAAATGCAAACGAGCGGAGAATGGTTCGTTTCACGCGGCGTGAAGTCCGGCGTGAAATGAATTCACGGGAACGCCCGGCGTTTCGCGATTGAGAAGCCGACGAAATAAAATTTACCGACGAACCTCACTCGGGCAAATTAGCCCTATTAGAGAATGAAGAAAGAGAGAGAATATTTTCAAGACAACAAATTTCGTCACTTGGTCCGCGGCATTTCGAGGGAAGTCGGGACACGTCGCCCGAGAAAATCCAACTAGTACAGCGTGTACCGAGACGAGATTAATTTTCGTCGACCAGCGAAGCCAGTCGGTGGGGGGGGGGGTGGTGGTTTGCTTTGCACGTCTGAAATCGCACGTCGTCGCTCGAAACTTTAAAGGGTCCAACACACTGGCTGAGTGTCTTAAATTTCCCTCCGTAGCGGGACGAGCCTCGAGTTCCAGCCTCTGGAGGGAAGGTCTCTCCTCCCTCGGGCAGAGGGACCGACGGCGTACGTTTGAAAATTCGAGTCGAGAGATTCGCCCGGTACGCGAGCAACGAGAATATGCCACGTTCGCGACCGACCTGCTGGAGGGATCCCTTCAGTCGTAATTACGGCGTTCCTGTGCAGAGGAGAGCAGCTCGAATTTAATCGGATGCCGCGCAATTTTACTATCGGAAAGCTATTTGTTCGATGATCGATTCATCAGGTGATGAACTAGTAGATCTACTGTAATTTCCATTCAGACATTTCGAATACTCGAGCGTTAAATATTTCAACTAAGTCGTGCAACAATATCTTTTATGATATGTCTTGTAATAATACGACAATAATATAACAATATAATGCAATGTATTAACAAACTCTATTGTTATATATATTGTATTTAATTACATTGCATACGTATTACAAACATTGTATTTATCGCGTATAATTTATATTTATTGTACTGTTTTTATATGTACAGATATAAAACATCTTGTTCCAAGATAAAGGTGTAAGATGTATATAAATACATGGATTCTTTCGTTCCTAGTTTTCCTTTAAAAAGCAACTGAGAATATCGATAACTCGAGTCTTGTTGTAACGAGAGCGAAAGGAAAGGAAAAGAAAAAGGAAAGAAGGGAACAGGTATCGCGAGTCCATCGTTAGTTAAGGATCGACGTCTAGAAAGCAAGAGCGGACGTGGAATCTTGAACGGTGAACTCGTCTTAACCACTTCTATAGCTGCTGAAAGCTCCGAAGCGTAGTCCGCGAGCCACACGGTCTGGTAAACTAACGAAAGAGAAGTCCCGCAGTTACGAAAGTGCTGCACTACACGCGGATCACTCAGAAGAGAAGAACAGCTGGCGAAGAAAAGCTCGGCCCTGGCATTCTTGCCCGACGTTGTCAACTTGCCTCTCGATTTCCATCCACTTTTTTCAACGCCAGTTTTTTTCGGTTCTTCGGACGTTGCACGCCGCCGAAAATCCCGACGTTTATGTTTATTTAAATTTCCCATTATCCGGCTCTCTTTGTCGATTCGCTCGTGCGCGTGCGAAACTTCGCGAGATCGTGCAACGCGATTCCCGAAAGCTCGCAGCATTCCGATTTCACTCCCGAGTTTCTCGAACTCGATCGGGCAAGTTTCGATGCTCTTTCGAGCGCTCGCGAAAATTATCAAGAGTCTGGAAGTTTAATGGCATATCGTAATTTTAGAACGCGATCCTGTTTAAATACGTATGTACTTGTTGATACGCTGGGATGGACGGGAGAAAGTTTTAATAATCTGTCAGAAGTATGGAACAACCGACTACTCGCGACACTTTTCAAACTCGATTTTCTACGAGAGCGAATTTTCCACGAAACTTTTTTTCTTTATTTCTCCATGTAGAATCATCCCCATTATTCTACGCAACGAACGAAGATTCTAAAACGAATTAAACAACATTTCACGCAACAAGTTAACACATATTGAAATCATCGTAATTTTGTTCACACATTTAACGAATTACATAATTTTTCGTTAAGTTACCCGTCTCGGTATTTTTTCGATACTAATTTTAGCTTTAATTTCATTTACGACTCGCCACGTACAAAACAACGAAGAATAAAATAACTTTATATACTTTTAAACCAGATCGTTAGACATTTATTTATTTTGCAGTCGGTCAACGGATTTAAATCGAAAGTACGAAATTGTCGGTGGCAGCACGATTACCGATACAACAACTAGAACAAACACAGTCCGTGGTCGGAATAGAAATAATAAAATCCAGAGCGAAAGATCGTTCACGTTGTTGTATAATTCGAAGTGAACAATTTCAAAGCAAATGGTGCGAAGAGAGAAAGGACGTCGATCATTCGTGAACCAGTGGGCGCTCTATGGTTGTTATTTCGTTAGAATAGGGGCAAAATAGCTGGACAAACTGTTGGTCGTGTTACACGCTGTTACCCTCGCAAAACTGTCCACTACGCGCTCTCGATTCACTGGCAATGCATATCTCGTATCTGCTCAGTCAGGGTTGTTCGAAAACTTCCCCACCGGGCTACAACCTCGCGCGTTTAAATTACTAAACTATTGGTCTGCTCGGAACCGATCCTCTTTTGTTGACGATTTTCTTTTTACATTTCGCGTTTTCTTTTTTTTTTTTTCTTACGCTTCACTGCGTTTCGAGTGTCTGGCATCGACGATTTATGATACTACTTATAAAAATGAAGAAAAACGCGAGTGAACAAAATTTTTGTGATATCCTGTTAAACGATACGAAAATTAAACATGAACTGTGTCAGCGTGTTCTATGATTAAAAGTAAGAAAATGATCACGAAATGGGTAATAAAAGGACCAAAATTATAAATGATTGGTTTCTTATTGAGTTGTCTCGTAACTACACATATGGTTTGTATTAACACCAAATAATACATCAGTTGATTGAACAAATTTATAGTTCTAATATTTTTGTTGTTGCATATGCAAACCTATGTTTGTATATCTTTTTCTTATTCTTAATTATTACAGAACATACTGACACCGTTTGGCGGGATAGAAGTGAAACACTCAGTCATATCTAGAAATTCGGTCCATTTACTTTACTTCCTGAGCGAAACAACACTTTCTTGCACATTTTTTTTTTCCTTTTGAGAGACAAAAATATTAAAGTTGCAACAAATTAATTAAAATTTCAATATTCCCAGAGAAATATTTGTTCAGCAGAATTGTTTTGAAATCTTAGGTAACGAGGTAAGGTTCGATCTTGAGTAACGAAGTAGAATTATAAAACACTGTGAGAATTGAGATTTTAATAACGGAAGTAAATAAATATATAAACACCGATTAGAGCTCGAAAAATTTGCCAGTCGATCGTTCGAGGGTTTCAGCCTTCGAATAGTGGCGTTAACAATTTGCGGATATACGAGAAACAAATTTATAGTGCTTGTTCCAGTGGATTGACGTGTCGTGTATCGAGTTGACGCGTGACTCCAATGAAATGCACGATGAAACAGATTATGCCGTATTTGTGCCGCGCGAAAGGCGACAGTGACGAAAAAACAAAAAAAAAAAAAAAAAATAGAGAAAAAAAGTAAAAAAATTCTGAACGAATGCGGTTGATACTCAGTTACATTCAGTATATTCAGCACTCTGTAGGCTGGGCTTTCGAGCCCTTTCATGTCGTCGCGTACCACGTCCAGAGAGAAAATTGTGCCCGATGGAAGAGCTGCGAGAGCTAACGAAATCAAAAATAAAGCGAAAAAAAAAGAAACGCAATTTCAAAATCCTTTGAAAAAAAAACAAATAGATTCGGCTTTTCGAATCGACGTTTCCGTGGAACGTGATAAAACGGATTGTGTTTCCCCTGTAATCGAAGATACGCGTTTCGTCGATTCGTTAGTTCCCTGCAAACGCGTTCGTTCATAAGCGCTCATCATAAGCGCGTTTAAGAAATATTGCGAAATATTACATGCGAAGTGATTTTTAATAACAGTGACATTTCGCTTGTATCAATTTGCAGTAGAGCAAATAGTGGCTCGCACTTTTATCAACACATTATTGAAAAAAACATTTCGAAATTTAGAAACATATATACCTGGATATTACGAAATATATAAAATGTATATAATATATATAAAATATATGAAAGGTATATGGATATTGGAATTTTTTGCAATTGTACAGTTTGCGAGGTATCACGAAAATATTCGAACAGTCAATTGTTCGCTATATGTGTGTAGCATTATTCCCTTTTTGTTAAGTATAACTAGTCACAAAAATATTCGTATTATCTTCACGTCTTTTCATACATAAATTATCTACCTATCTAATTGAATTTTGAAATTTTCATCGCATCCGATTGTTCGGAGTTGTACAAATTATAACCTATTTTTGTGACTCGCTGTACATATTTAGAGTAAATAACTCAATTCCAAATGTTCCTATACAATTACAAAAGTCGTTGTTCATTGCGATGTTAATTAATTTTCGCAGAAAGTTGCGTACAACGCGTCCAATAAATTCGTAAAAATTTTCCATAAAAGTGTTCTGCCTATTGTTAATGATTTTTTCGTAACATATAATAGGAGTTTGTGTTGAAACAAGTGGATCGAAATTTGAAATTGATTTAATTAAAACAAATGAATTTCGTACAAACGAAGTTCCACTGTATCGTGAGAATGTACGGCTCGTGGTGACCGACACGCATTTTAATTGCATTCTGAAAGTTCGTGGCTTTTCAAAGCCCGTGTCCCGTAGGCACCGTCTTCTTCACGTAAATCCTCAAGAGATCACTTAACCAAATAGTCGGCCAATTAGAGATCACTCAAAACATTCTTTCTGCCTGTCTTCTATTTTTGTCAATTATTATTTTCGTCCGAATTTTTACCGAAATAATTGCCTCTCCAAGAAAATTGTTATTCTGCAAGGAAATCTCGTCTAGGTTCATTGATCTTATGAATCCTTTCTTACTCTTATTTTATTTTATCTTTTCATTAATAAATGTTTTCGTGCAGAGTAAATTTCAGCAGTTTGACGATAATTTAATTTGATGTGTAACTTTTTTTAATACATGCTGCTTTGTTAATCTTAACTGCTATTTAAGTGCTATGTTATTCGTTTTAGTTTCAAAAAATAGCATTTATCTTTATAGTCTCAGAAGCAACTTATTTTCCACAATTAATCCAAATTCACGATCTGTTACAGATATCTCACTTTCAAACTCTTCTTCTATTCTTATTGTTACACTATTCGTTATCCCCCAGTTAATTAACCTGATATTTAAATATTCTCCAGTTAATTATGATAAATTTAATGTTTGTTCGAACAGCATTCAATATCATACTCTCGTTGATTTTTTTTTCAATGGATCTATTTTAT